CCTACCACAAATATTTATGACAACATATAATGATCATATATGGTTCCAAACGACGTTATATGACCCCAAGATCTATTCCCTAGAATTTCAAGATTTTTTGACACCGAGCCCAGAAACCTTCAAAATTTTGCAAAATGCATGGATTAGTAGTAGTCTTCAATTTTTGATTTTTTTTTTTTTACTTTTTTCACTTGAAAACAAAAATTGCCGAAATGTTTACCATGGTCTCTACTCTCTAATACCTCTGGGAGCCCAATTGGGTGGGTGGAATATTCAATTTGCCTTTAAACGACCAATTTACCGGTTTACAACTTCATCGATTTTATCAACTCAAGCATACCACAAATATTTATGACAACATATAATGATCATATATGGTTCCAAACAGAATTATTTAATGTTAAATGGCCAATTTAATTAACTTGAACCGATTCCGACTTGAAATGAAATTGACCCTAACCTGTTTTAACCCGTCAAAACCCGAATTTAACCCGACTTGTTACTAACCTGACCTGAATTCAACCTGACCCGTTCCAAACCCGACCCGAATTCAACATAACCTGTTACAAACCCGACCTGAAATCAACCCGACTTGTTACTGACCTGACTCAAATTCAATCCGACTTGTTATTGACCCCCGACCCGAATTTTACCAGACCTTTTACTAACCCGACCCAAAAATTCAACCCGATCTGTTACTAACCCAACTCGAAATCAACACGATTTGTTATTGACTCAACCCGATTGTTCCCGACCCGATTTCAAATCACTTAAATGCAATTTAGACCACCTTATTATTGTTGATCAAAGTATTTTGTCTTGGGAGACCAAGTCGGTCTAGGCCAGCAAAAGAAAGGAGCATCATCCTCAAATTTAAGAGTTAAGTATAGTATATATTTGTTGTATGGTCAAATTAAAGGAGATAATTATCTTCCTAAGTTATAGACTATAGTTCCCTAGTATATTGTCATATATATTATAGTCAAAGGAAATAATTCGCTTGATAAAGATGATAATTATCAATTTATATTTAGTTGGACCCGGATATGACCTGACTTGGAAATGACCCGACCTGATTGTAACCAGCAAATTATTGACTTAAACATTACCCGACTTGAATCCGAGAATGAATTGACTTGGAAATGACCCAACCTAATTATAACCTGCAAAATTATTGACTTGAACCGAATCCGAGAATTACCCTAACCCGTTTTAACCTGAATTAAACCCGACCTATTGTTCACCCGACCCAAACCCGATAAAAGTATGACCGGACGTGACCCGATTCAAGCATGACCCAACCAAAACCCGACCTGCATAGGTTATGAAATTAATCCAAATTGACCCGACCCACTCTTACTCGACCCAAAGTCGACCCATTTACCCGAATTGACAGCTTTATAATCCACATACCAAACACACCGTCAAAAAGTCTCAGTATCTTAAAGCCCTGTTCAAATCGGATTTTTTACGAAAGTAAGCTTAATTGGCAAACAATTTACCAATCTAGACGCGTGGCCAAACTATTTACGAAACTGAGCTTTTGACATAAAACGCTGCCTCGGTCAGCGTTTTACCTTTGGTTATTATTATTTTTTATAAAATGTCGTATTATGTGAAATACAAATTTTTTAAAAAAAATGGAAATACAGTAAAACGCTGACTCAGTCAGCGTTTTACGCATAAAACGCTGCCTCAGTCAGCGTTTTATCTGCTTGCTGAAGGCAGCAACAACAGGCCCCCAACAGCAGCCAGTGCAACCCCTTCCACATCCACCACCCTCTCCACATCACCACCACCACCACCCTCCTCCTCCACACCACCTCCTCCACATCCACCACCACCATCACCATCACCCTCCTCCTCCACATCCACCACCACCACCTCACCACCACCCTCCTCCTCCACATCCACCACCACCACCATCACCCTCCTCCTCCACATCCTCCAACACCTCCACATCCTCCAACACCTCCACCACACATCTTAATTGCATGCAATCTCCACCAATTCGCACAAAAACAACCAAGATATTCACACTATAAACATAATTAACCAACATTGTTCCAATTCACATTACAACCACAACAAAGTACACAACGAACATATTCACACTATAACAACCAACATATTCTACATAACAAAATTTTCGTAATTAAAACAACAATGTAGGCTACTTTATCAAACTAAAACAACAATTTCATCAACATTATCAACAATTTCATCAACATTTTCAACAATTTTATCAAACATTTCCACAATTTCATCATAAACTTTCTTACTAAACTAACATCAATTTAGGGCTTTTATACTAGACAATTATCAAATTACAACAAACCAACTTAGAATTATCAACATAATTGTCAATTTACATCAAACTAACTTAGAATAAAACAACAACATTATCAAATTAAAACAATGTAGTATATAATTATCAAACTAACCTAGGTTTTTAAATTTTAAAAACAAAATAAGTGAGAAGTACTAACAATGTGATTATAAAGAAGAGGAGAGGCGCGTCGGCAGCAGGCAATAGGCGGCGGCGACGGCGACACGCAGCAGGCGGCGGCGACGGCAGAGCTTTGAGGAAGATAGGCTATTGCGTGAGGAAGAGTGAGTTTGAGTTTTTAGTTTTGAGGAAGAGTGAGTGCGCGAAAAATATACCAGGCAAAATCGCTGACTCAGTCAGCGTTTTAAGGGCTGTTACAGCCTGAGACAAAAACGCTGACTGAGGCAGCGTTTTTATGTATTTCCATATTTTTTTTTAAAAAAATTTGTATTTCACTAAATAAGAAATTTTAAAAAAAAAATAATAATAGAAGTAAAACACTGACCGAGGCAACGTTTTACCTCAAAAGCTCAATTCCGTAAGTAGTTTGGCCACGTGTCTATATTCGTAAATAGTTTGCTAATAGGGCTCAGTTTCGTAAAAAATCCGTTCAAATCTCTCAACTAGCGCTGTGGCACACGAGTGTAACAAATGACACGACGTGGGTAATTCTAAATCACCTAGAAATGTAAACATCATTTTTTTCCCCAGTCGAATTTAATTCTACAGTATTATTTTCAATTCCAAATTTTATTGAGAAGAGTATCATGAAATTGGGTTTTGCTTGAAGAACCAATTCAGGGCAGAAATTGCTCAAAGTTATCTCTTCAATTCCATAATTCTGGCACAGCGGCCCAACAATTTGTTGAGGAAAGATCTAAAGTTTCTTCAGCGGTGTTCATAATGAGGTAATTTCCACTTTAATTGTACTAAATCAGTAAATCTCCGTTTTTTACTTCTTTAATTTAATTTTGCCGCAATTCTCTTCTTGAAATTGAGGTAGTAGTTTAATTTTAAATGTTAATTGCACTTGCTTGACTGCTTCTTGTTATATTTAATAATAATTGTTAATGGTATATTGGTATATGCTTTGGTTATATAAGTATGTTACATTGTTAATATAATAAGCTTTGGTTATGTTTAATTATAATTGTTTTGTGGTTCATGATCTTGTTATTTGGTAATGCTTGGCATGGAGTCATAATTAGACAAGATTACATTTTGTTGCTTTCAATTCTAGTGACCACTGACAAGAATGGAAGATAGTTGAACCAAAGTTGTAATCCATCAAATATAGGCAATCCAGCTTAATAGAAGAAGCGTAGATGTCAACTACGTAGTAGCTTAATTGGTTAAAGTGTTGGGGGTAATGCCTAGATCAAAAACAAAAAGGCTTTTTTTTGGAAACAATTCCATTTTCGATATAATGATGTATAACCATTACCTCTTTTGGAAGTATAAAAATGAAATACAATAATCATTTAAATTATTTTGCTTGTAAATAAACTTGAATTTAGGACCAACCCTAAGCTGTAAAATCTCTCTTAAATGATTGTAATTGTAATGTTTGAAGGTTATCTTAGGAAATGTGAAAGGTAATGCGACTGTCCTACATAAAAGTCCTTTTGAAATTAAACCGGAGTATGTAATGTTGGGGTGATTTTGAGAATTTCCTTTGTGCTCAAGGTCGTTTGTAACAATATGTAATCATGTTTGTAACAAGGTTGGTAAATAACTGAATATATGTCTTGCTGCGCGGGTGTCACCCTAGGCACAAAGAACGAACTTGGCTCACTTTCTTGACTTCCAAAAACTTTCCCTTTTATTATGTGTTTGCCTTGTGTATTTGTGTTGAATGATGCTGGTGAAGTACCCAGCAAAACTTTATTCGATATTAGAGGCAGAGTTGTCATGAAGAATGAGATCAAGGACTCCGTTCATTGTTGGCCTACTTGAAGGATTATCTTGAACACATAATAGTGCTGCTCGGATACAACTTATGACTGTAGTGCTTGAAAAGTTGCTCTCTAAAGATGGATCAACTAGTTCAATGGCATCTCCACTGTTCCAAAGACTCCTTGCCTGAAGCAAAATGACACATTATTTATGACTTTTTGTTGCCTTTTGAAGCTAATTTGAAACATGAATATATATAGGCTGTCTTACATGATCCGTTAGACCGTTCTTCTTTAGTACGCGAATAACAAAAGTATTTCTTAGCCCACTTATGATTTCCAATAGGGTGACCCCAAAGCTATACACGTCTGACTTGATGGAGAGTTCTCCACCATTTGCAGATTCAGGAGCCATATATCCACTGCGAAACAATATTTGGCCGTAAACATTAAGATTCTTAGTGAAAGTGTGAAATAACTCTTTTATCCAATATTAGAAATTGGAAGACCTTTTGGCTTAACTTGGAGCCTGGCTGTATGCTCTATGACATTTATAATTGTCATGGGAGCATGTAACCATCATATAGGATTCGGATGTTAATGGTGAAAATATCTCACTCGTAACTGAGTACTCTTTATTTAATTGCCAAAGTTGGTAAGCATACAATGTGATTATGTGAGATCTCTTTTATTTCAAAATTAGTAACTTTTTTTTTAAATTTTATTTATTTATTTATTTTTTTTAAAAAATAATCACAAGGTGTGCATCTGTGAAAAAGTGAATAAAAATAGAACTAGATGCAAACAATAACTTTTAGAAGCTTTTAGATCTTACCGTGTTCCACGAAGTTTTTTGGTTTTTGCCTTTGTTTGACCTTATTCTCAGGTGCCCTTGCCACCCCAAAGTCTGCTATCTTTGGGTTCATCTCCTCGTCTAGCAATATGTTTGTCTGGTTTCAGGTCCCGATGAATAATTTTGTAGTCTGAATCCTGATGAAGGTGCAGAAGTCCTCGCGCAATTCCTGTTATGATTTTGAACCGTGTTTCCCAATCTAATAGCTTGACCTTCTTTGGATTAATAGAATATTCATGATCATGAGTGACAGCACGAACTACAATCTGAAAACTTTGTACCTAACACAAACTATTTTTTTCAGCTAAAACATATTACCAGAATAGGAATTTGTCTAAACTCAAGTTGGGTAAAAACTCATAGATAAGCAACTTTTTTTTTGCCTTCGGAGCTATACCCCAACAGTTTGACAAGATTTTCATGTTGAATCTTGGCTATTAGCTGAACTTCGTTATCAAAATCTCTAAGAGCTTTGACAAGAGGCTTTTGAGAGCTCTTAACAGCCATTCCCGGCCACCTGGAAGCTTCCCCTGCAGTATGTATATGGAAAACCCTTTAATTTGTCACAGAAAATTGAAAAGCTGTTGTGAGTGGGCGTATACTTTGTAGTACCTTGTAAACAACTCCAGATCCTCCTTGGCCAAGTTTGTTATCATTTGAAAAGTTATCTGTTGCAGAATTAATCAGCTGAAGCTGTATTTGATGACGCCTGGAAGAGGATGTTTGTGGTTGAGTAAACAGCAGTAAAACAAGTTTTTATTAGTTGGAAAACCATAATTACAATGCAGCATTAACTCTGTAATACTTCTGTTATTAGTAGTTGCAATAGGCTTTTATGTGGTGCTATCAAGTGTTGTTTTTTCTTTATGTGGACTATATTATTTGACAATAATCTACTCTCAATTCAATGGTACAACTACACGTTTAGTGGACAGTTTTGTGAAGGAGAAGTTTTTTATTGAGATCAGGCTCACTAATTGATGATACTTTAACACTTTACAAGTTTACTGAGGAAACACAACCATGCTGAAGTGACTAGCACTCCATGCAGGATTTAGTCAAGTCTTGTTAAAGTCATTTGAGTCGTAAAAAACCATATGTAGGAAAGATAAATATATTAAATTCTATAACTCGATTTGTCATATATCTACTCCGTATATAACTGTCATCATTCAAGTATCATAAAACTCAAATTGACATGGGATTGGGTTTTTTGATTAATACATTTTAATTTATTTTGAGAGGAATGGATTAAGTTGCGTAACTTAGAAATGTTCAAAGAAACTACCAGTTTCAATAGGACCGAAGATGATAGTATAATGTGCATGTCATGCATGGTTATTGATCTAATACCTATTTGCCGTAGGTACTGGGAATATAGTACAAGCAATAAAATAATGACAAGATTGTGTATGATGCAGACTTGATGAATACTATTGTGACTTTGTGAGGACACCAGACGACAAGTTGTTTTCTGCTTCTTCTCGAGGTGAGATTTTACTCTTTTTTTAATTTTTAATTTTTATTTATTTGTTTCTTTTATGCAGTTGCTACTAATGATTGACAATAAGCATTTGTAATGTTGTGTATAGGACTTAGTTTATTTCTTATAATCTAGAAAAATAAAAAGAAAAAAACTTTCTGGGATGAATTAGTTATATACCTGCAAGTCTGTGCTGTTTCTTCCTCCTGTACATGAACAAGAGGATAATGAAGAGAAGCAACAATACAAAGCCAGAGGCTGGAAACAACAGCTCTTGTTATGTAAAAATGTATACTCCTAGTCTTGACTGCTCCAAAACATATTAGATTAAGTCAACAACATATATATATATATATAATATAGTGCCAAGACACCCAACTATGCCTTTGACAGCATTACTAAGTCTGTTTTTGGTTGGGGGCCTTGGTGCTTTAGTATATTCAATTTGAATACTCCATGGAAAATTTATGTTCTTATTTGATATATATTTAATAGTTGTAATTATAAAGGGTTTATTATTCTCCAAAGTTCTTCCCATTTTTTTTTTTTTTTTTTTTAATGTTTTTACCTGAATGCGATGTTTGCTTGCCTGATTGTCCTGGAGGTGTAGCTAGTGGAGGATGGAAACGTGACGTATTATACCTTATTTGGCAGTTTGGCTGGAAAATCACAGCCATACTTTTCCTCTGCAACAAGTCTTGCATTCTCTATAACTGCCACTCAAGCAACTTTCACAAGGTGAGCCAAGTATACAGGGGAGCATTGAACAACACAATACACACGTTTGATCAGGTGGGAGAGGAGCCTTTCCGGTTTCATAACCGTGGTAAGTTTCATTATAAGCTGCCCTCTTGATTAGATTGTTGATAGTTGTTGACATTACTTGGTCTAACTGTGTGGGATTTGGATATGTTCTCATTGCTGTTCTGATGCCAATTAAAAGGATCAGTTTTTAACAGCGAGAATATTGACCTGTTTGCATAACTTAGGGTGCATCCCTCAATACGAATGCTTGCTTCTTTGTGGTTACTGCATTTGGTGACTATTTCCTGTGCCGCAGACTGTACACATCTTGGCAGGGCTGATGACTGACATCAACCTCTGCAATAGAATTGGCCATAGACTATGTTGGGGCTGTGTCCTCTGGTGGAATTATATAGGCCTGTTGTTGAAGCTTTTACGCTGAGATCTGATAGGAAATATTGAGATTCTTTGGTATGTACTGTTCTGTGTATAATTACCAGCTTCATAGCAGTAAGAGCAATAAGATTTATCTGTGAAGTAACCATTTTCAGCTGCAGAATTTGAAGAAAGATTAGGAGGAAAGATTTTAAGATATAGTAAAATGATGCCACTTTTGACATATGATTAAACCCAGCTCAGCTGTCTTGTTTGGGAGAGATTATATTTGTTGTTTTATAAGGCATATGGAGATAAATCTGGCTACTTAAAACCAATATATCTGACTTTTTTCTGATATGGGGCTCTAGATCTACTATTATTTCTGTAAATAGATGCCCCGTTATGTATTGCAAAGAGCAAGCATAACTTTGTTTGTAGGCTTGGATGCAATTGTTAAATATTACTTGAAACTATCTAGTAGTGTAAAAGAATGATTTAATGAATTTAGCTTTATTATGAATCTGAACCTGTCCAAACTTGACCTGAAAAAGTGATTAATTTGGATTTATTTGTGTTAGGAATGAGTTATGTGACCTAGAAAGTTCAGCAAGGACTATTGATTGGGTAATGGCTGATGGGAAAATATTTTTTTGCTCATATTCAATGAACCTCAATGATCTTTCTCTATAAGATTTCCATGCAAGGGAAAAGCTCAGCTATTTGAAATTTTCAATGTCAGAACTGTAATAATTTTTTAATTAAAGCTGGGTCGTCTGAATTTTTTCAATGCAAAGAACTGTTAGTGTTAGTTTGTTCTCAGCTTGCTGTAGCCAAGTTTTGAAATGATCAAATTGTATGATCATTTGTCGTAACTCCTCGTACAAAAATAAGATCTTTTGCAAGGGTGAGAAACTGGGGATGATATTTTAAAGAATGAGTTGCCAAAAGTAAAGTGGCTTGGAGTATAGCTGTTACTTGGGATTGAATAATCAAGAATGTTGTCATTCTTTAGATTCATTTTGTGCACGCTTGTGTAATGACGTAGCAAATGGAGAAGGTAAACTTTATTGTATAGCCTAGCTTCTTAGGATATTGTAGTAAAATTCTCAGTATATAAGAATATAATTAAGTATATAACATGGCTTCTGATATTGATAATAAATTCAAACTGTTTTAAATATATATTTTCTTTATTTTAATAGTGTTATATTCCAAAATTGTTGGTATGTAGTAATTGAATCTTGTATATTATATCTTCACAGGCCTTGCCAAGCCAAAGTCTTTGTAACTTCTTATCCAACAATACATTATTTGATTTGTAGTATTTGTGAATAGAGATATGCTAAAATGATGTCATTAGATTTCGTCAGCTTGTTACTACATTGTTTTATCTTTTATGAGCATGCAATATTGTGGAATATGGCTACTTCAGAACAGATGGATCTTATATATTCTTTGACACCAAATTGATACATGATTATGAGTTGAACCTTTAATCAATGCCTTGCAGGCCTTGTTAAAGTGTCAAGTCCGAGCATATCCTTTTCACTGGCTTCTTGTATTTATCGAATATTATTTCAAATAATGTTTAAAAATTTATTTGTGATTGACGTAATTGCCAAGTGGTAAGGCTGATGTCAGATCAGGATATTTGGAATTATTAGAGAGTATATTCTACTCATAACTATTTGTCAACTAAACCTATTTTTTAGTGGAGTTGAACACCGTTAAGAAAAATGTTATAAGACTTTGGTAGCAGTTAGAGAATGGTCAATGAAAAGAAATATTAAAAAGCCTTAAGGTGATGCAAACACTTTTTTTAGATGTAAATCTATCTCATTCCTCAAGAATGGTGGCCTATTCATGCTTTGGCCTGCTATGTCTAACAAGGAAGATAGCTTAATTGAGAAGCTATGTTAGCACGATTGCATAAAATCATGAATACATCTAAGCTGTTTC